TGTGCTTATGGGCTAGCTCTTGGTTGTATTGCATGGTATTGTTATTATCATTTTAATCTCAAATAATTAATTGGTTTCCCATGGAGGCCAATGCATGGGACGTGTGATTTAAGGTTTTGCCGATTTCCTTGGAACTATATTTACGTGTAAAAAAATATGATATCCTGATTATGCGTGCACGAAAAATATGTAAAATTAGAATAAATTAAACTTGAAAAGACAGAAGGCACATGAGACCGGCTAGCTTGATGGTTGGGCCATGAATATATAATTATACAAAAGATGGTAAGTATGAGTAACAGTATTGTTATCGAGTGACTATGAGTAAAAATAAGAACCTTGTCCAGAAGTAAGGAGTTAGATAAAAATATACTTGTGTGCCCAATAATTTGAGCCATAACTGTGGCTTACTAAGAAAATGATGATGGCATCTCAATTATTGGAAGATTCGATGATAAGATGGGCAGTATAAACTTTTAAGTGGATGTAGTAACTGTGATTGCAATCTGCAAGTGAGTTGAATTAATATTAATGAAGTTGATTTGAAATGAAATGGGTGAGCAGTTATGGCATGGGATGTCAAAGACGGTGGCGGAGAAGACAGCCTGGGCGTTGGCCATGGACCGAGGGGTGAACATGGTGTCTATCAACGCCGGCTTGTTGATGGACGACCCCGATCTCTCCATCAAGACTCCATACTTGAGAGGCGCCGCCGAGATGTACGAGGACGGAGTGTTCGTGACCGTCGATCTCGACTTCTTGGTGCACGCCCACGTCTGCATCTTCGAAGACGTCTCATCCTACGGTCGCTATTTGTGCTTCAACCGCGTCATCAATACTCATCACGACGCCAGCACTCTCGCTCGCAAGTTGACTCCTTCAGCCCCTTCCACGTCCCACAGGTTCGTTCATTCCAAAAACAAGTTTTTTTTTTTAAAAAAATATACTCAGCAATTTTACCTTTTAAAAAAAAAATCACTTGTGATCTGCTTACTTAATTCGATTGAATTATGTATATTGTGCAGTGAGGAGGGCAAGAAGTTTGTAGAGCAAAGAATAAGCAACAAGAAGTTGAACAAGTTGATGGTGGATTTCCAGAAATGAATTGATTGATTAAGCCATGAGGAGGAGGGGATTTAGAGCAGTGACGACACGTTAGAATATCGGTGGGGGAGGACTACAAGTAATTTAACTTATTGGGGGGGACTCATTTATTCAGAGTTGTATGTAGGTTGGCTTGTGTAAGAAATCAATGTGATAATTTTGTGAGATAATTCGAGGCAAGTTGCTTGCCTTTGTGATAAAAACGACCTCCAATTTTTTTATTCTTTGCTGAATGCAAATGCCGCTTCCTGATTCGCCCTGCACAATGATGCTGATCATACACAGAATCTTTTATACATGAGAAACCAAAAAGGCATATTCAAATTGACACAAAAGCTGAAAAGGAAACAGTATTTCTATTTTCTACAACAAACAATTTAGGACGCAGCTTCTCTTCTCTACCTTTCCTCCGCTGCCCGAGAAACGACGCGGTACGCGAGGGAATAAATGGCCAAATGATGAAATGAGGCGCGCTGGGTCACGAAAGTGAGGTGGTGGGGCACATTATGACATGAATAATTATTAACAGTTGCTAACAGTGACCCTCGCACCTGTTCAAATTTTTATAAAATCACCAAAAAAAATTAAAAAAAGTATTTTTAATAATACTCAATATCTTAAAGTAGCTTTTAATGTATTTAATATCTTAAAATATTTTTTAAATAGTACTTAGTGGTGTAAACTAATTTTTTGTATATTCAACACCCTAAAATACTATTTTCAGTCCTTAATATAAAAGTTATTTTGATTTTTAATTTGGTTCTAAATATAAGACATCAATCTCATATTTATCTGTTTTTTTTAAAAATAATCATGATAGTGGTTGTATATGTTAAATGTTTCATCATGTAGTACTTTTAGCTAATACACATGATTAGCAAAAGTATTTTAGAATAGAAAATACCTATTTATTATAAATAAATAACTTAATAAACTTCTTTAATTAACACAAATTAGTTAACTAGCTTTTATATTAAAGATTGAAAGTAATGTTTTTTTTAGGAGAATTACAACGAGACCCCAATGAAGGAAAATAACTGCCAATAATTACTAATGATAAATAAGATGTTGTCATTTTTTACTCTAGAACTTGTTATTACATATTGTTTATATTGTTATTGGGATTTTTTAGTAATTATATTTCTTTTTTGAGACTTAATTGCAGTTCTCCTTTTTTTTTTTTTTCCAAAAGCCCTTAGTACGTATCTTAAGTTTAGGGTGCTTCTTGTTACTAAAAAATGCTTTAAGAAAAAAATCACACCAAATTACTTTAGGATCCTAGGTGTTACTGAAAAAATATTTTAGAGTTTTAAATCCAAAAAAAATTACTTTAGAATATTGATGACTTCTTGTAAATTAAATATCCAACAAAAATTACATTAGACTACTAAGTACTATTTAAAAAATATTTTAAGATGTTAGTTTTATTAAAAACTATTTTAAGATATTGAGTCTTACTTTAAAAAAATATTTTAGGAGATTACTTAACCCCTATTTTTCACTCAGTTAATTTGTGTTTCTCAAGTTTTTTGTCATGTTATAAAAGTTTGAACCGTGCAAAGAGTCACTGTTAATAATTTTTAACAATTATTTATATTATCATGTGCCCCACCACCGCATTTGTGTGACTCAGTCCGCCTCATCTCATGAATTGGCCATTTGCTCCCTCACGTACGGCATCATTTGTTGGGCTGCGGATGGGCAGCTGAGGAAAAAGTAGAGGAGAGAAGCTGAATCCAACAAATTGAGCTTGTTTGGCATTATGTTTCAATATATTATCTGAAATCTGAATAAGATTCTGGCAAACTAATTTTTTTAATGGTCCATCTAAACACAAATTATTACACTAATTTTTTTTGCCTGAAGCAAAAACCAATTAAAATAAAAGTCAGATTTTGCTTATATCATACAAGGTGATTGGGAAGGAGAGGCAATGAAGTCACGTAGATGAAGAGGGAGAACTGGAAACGGCACCTTGAATTTAACCATACTCATATGAAATAGAGTTTGAATCCAAGACAGAGATGAGATGGACGGACGGAGGGTACGACAGAGAAAAGCTGTTCTAAGCAGGAACCAGACTGGCTGGCTAGGAAACAAGGAAAAATGCTCTTGGAATTGAATTGACTCATAAAAGGACTTGCAACTGTCTGGCTTTACGAGAACGCAACCACATTGATGAAATGATGACGACAACCTCAGCCACACAGTGTCAAGGGTTATAATTGCAATTCACACGATACGTTTGCATATAATTTTCTTTTTCTGGCCAAATACGTATGCATATAATTGAGTTCATACAATACAATAGATCAAACAAGTTCAAAGGGAACGAACAGGTCTAACACTATCAACACAACGGTACAAACAAGCTGTCATTTGCGGGACACTATTCCGACAACAACCCCCATGAATGGTAAAACAACAAATTAAATTAATAATGTCGCGTAATTCATGTTATAAATATACTAATGAACTCCAAGTTAATTTCTTTCCCCAAAATTCCTATCAAGTACTACTTCCGGTCCTTAATATAAGATTCTGTTTTACTTTTATTTTGGTTCTAAATATAAGACCCTCCAATCCACTTTGTCTCTCATATTTACTCAATTTTTTTTCAAGATAGTCCTTCTAATAATCATAGTTCTAGTTAATACATTTGATTAGTAAGGATATTTTAAGAAAGACAACACTTATTTAGGACAAATAACTAACTCATCTTACTTCTTTAATCTCCTCAAATTAGTTAACTGGCTCTTATAATTAGGATTGGAGGTAGTATTTAATTTGGATGTCACTGTATATTTGGCGCAAAACTTAAAATGAGCAGCACCATTTATAATATTCCCCCTCTCATTCATTTTATAAGCTCTAATTAATTACTTTACATAGATGGCAAAAAAAAAATAAAAATCACTCTACATAAATTAAGAAATTGATATAAAATTAATTATTTATTGTAAAAAATCTCAACAATTATGTTTCATGGGTCAGCTTGATTGGTTATAATGTTTTATTCACTCTCTTAAAATTTAATAACTTCTCAATTTTACTTCTATTAATATATAATACACTTTAAATATTTTTTTCATAAACACTAAATAAAAGGTAAGTTATACTCCATCTAATTCAAAATATAAAATAAACTTTATCCATTTACGTTTATGAAGAAATCAGTTAAAATAAGTTTAAAACAATAAATACGTAAAATATATTTATTTTTTCAAAATATGCCTTTATTAATAAAGATAAGAAGTAAAAGCTGCAGTAAATAAATCAAAGAGGAAAGAGAATATATGGAAGTAAAATTGAAAAAACACATTAAATATTAAGACAAAAATAAATGTTATCTTATAAAAAAATCAAATTTCTCCAATAAAATTTAATTTATACTACCTCCGGTCTTTAATATAAAACCCTATTTGACTTTTTGTTTGATCCTAATTATAAGACCCCAATCCATTTTGTCTCTCATATTTATGCTTTTTTTTCCAAGATAGTCCTTCTAATAATGATAGTTCTAGTCAATACACTTAATTAACAAGGATATTTTAGGAATAACAACACTTATTTATTACAAATAACTAACTTAACTTACTTCCTTAATCTTATCAAATAAGTTAACTGAGTTTTATAATTAGGACCGGAAGTAGTATTTTAAATCAGAGGTAGTATATTAAAATGAAAATTTAGGGGGAAAAAAACACATCTCCTTTCTTTATTAATTACTGCAAGAAAAGATAGGAAGGCAATCTCCTGCCTTCTTTATTAATGACTGCAAATCTTTTTTCTCATCTCCAACTATAAATTTGTCCAATCTTCTAAATTAATACAGTGAATCCGTTTCCTAATTCGGTAATTCCAAATCATTTCATACTCTTTCACCATGTTTTCTCCAGATGCCGCAGATCTAGCTACTTACCTCCTCGTTGAGTCATTTTGGTGTCCTCTATTTTCTTTTTCCTCCTAACTTATCCATTTTGCTTTTTATCTATGTCTGGTCCGGTGGGGCTGTTGTTTTCGTTCTTGTTTGGTCTCAGAGATGTGTTTGATGTTTTAGTTAAACAAGGTAGCACCGGACTACTTGCTTAGGGTTTTTCTTTCTGTTACTCTAACTTAAAATTGTACACTTTTGTATCTCCATTATTCTTGTAATGGATTATGGTCGAGATGGAAACGTCGTTCAAATAATCACTGGCGGTGGAAATGAAAACTGGTCCAGTGACCAGGCCGTTTGGGCAACGGAAGACGATTATCGATTCTGGAACAACGGGGATTCTGACACTCCCTCGGACTCGAATTACGATCAAAGGCAGTCCCAATCACGATCTGGGAGCGAACCCCCCAATAAGAAATCCAGGAATTCTCAGGATGTGTCTTCATCGAATCGGTCCAAAGCTATAGGGAAAATGTTCTTCAAGACAAAACTGTGTTGCAAATTCCGGGCCGGTACATGTCCTTACATCACGAACTGCAATTTCGCCCACAGTGTTGAAGAGCTTCGACGGCCACCTCCGAATTGGCAAGAAATTGTGGCTGCTCATGAGGAGGAAAAATCCATAATGTCGGAACCGAGGGAGGAGTTTCAAATTCCGTCCATTGGGTCGTCCGGGTTTGCTGGGGAGATGCAGAGAGCGTATAAAGGTCGCCATTGCAAGAAGTTTTACACGGAAGAAGGATGCCCATATGGAGATAATTGTACATTTCTTCATGACGAGCAATCTAGGAATCGTGAGAGTGTGGCTATAAGTTTAGGCCCCGGTGGGTATGGTGGTGCTGGGAGTGGCTCTAGTTCCAAGCCATCAAATTGGAAAACACGGATTTGCAATAAGTGGGAGATGACTGGGTATTGCCCATTTGGAAATAAATGTCATTTTGCTCATGGTGCTGCAGGTATGATTCGCTAACCTTGAGATGTTGAAGAGCTTATGCTTTAATTGAAGAAAGATGAACTTTTATGCTGTAATCTTTTCAAATCAGCCAAATCGTCAAACTTACTCTTAAGCAAGATTTTCTTAGAACTTAAAGACCTGAAATAGATTTTTTTTTTTTTTTTTTAAAAAGGAATTAGCTTCATCTTTTAGTCTGGTGACGACTTGGGATAATGATGCTTGATCATAATTAAGGGGATGTGTATTGGACATAGCATTCTGCTGGAATTAAAATTAGTTTGTGACCGTCACTTTAGTTGGATACACATTCTGTGACCGAGATAATAGTTCCGCGTATTGACATTAGGTTGCTTTTGGATTACTACACATAAAATTTTCATTTCCGATTGTCACTACGGCTATAATTTCGTATAAAACAAAATTCCCTTTGGCACCACAATGCAAAAACATGTCTGTGGTGGCGGATACCAACTACTGAGAGCTATTATCATATGATAAGCATGACTTTCATTAAGCATACCAGTCAAGTTTACTTTGAACTGGCTTATTTATCCCTTACAATGTTTTATTTAGAAAATGAGGGACACATTCGTATAATCAGAAAAAAGGGTTCTTATTCATTGCCTAGTGAAAGGTCTAACAAACAACTGAAATACAGTTACAGCAGAATTATTGACTGAGCTAGGGAAATTTCTTTTTCATTTCTTCCAAACTCTTATGCACTTAGCCAAGACTTTGTCAAAGGAAGCATGAGAAGCTAGCTACCCTGGCCTTTTGTGGTTTATTGCCACGCGTATAAGCTGCAAGGTATGAGTTCGAGAGCTGCTGTCCCACCCAAAAGAAAAAAAAAAGGGAAGCATGGGGAGAATAAATTCATGATAATTGTGTTCATTTATGATGTACCTGTAATTGGGAATTTATTTGTAACCTTTTTTTTCCTTGGCCACTGGACTTTATGCATTGCGTAGAAGTTTAGAACTCTGTTTTTTGAGTCATGGGTTATCTCATTCGTAGTTGGACCATTAGTGGTAGTTATGTTCGCTTGAGTCTTAATTTTGGATTTCTTATCCTAGTTAAATTAGAGCTGTTTAAATCACCTATAAAAAGGCATATATCTGTCTCATGGGCTGCAGCTTTGTCGTTGAGCCTGTGATAATATTCAGGAATTCCGATATTGTTCTTCAGTTTCCCATTTTCTTTCTACACCACTAGACGGTGGGTCCTGTGTGTTGCATAGAATTTGAAGTGAGGCTTAGCTCATGAATTATGAGCAATGCTTTGCCTTCCTATAAATTATGTGGTGTGTTAATATAACGATGATTCTCACCTTTTGCTTCCTACGCTTTGTGTGCTTTAATATCTTAGCTTGCTTTGTCTGATATAAGGAAGCAGCATTTGAAAACTTGAAAAATAGAAGTTGGGCTATGTTCAGAAAGAGAATAGCTTAAATCCTCAGGGCTTTTAGAGATGCTTTTAAGATGGCATGAGACCGTGAGTCATGCTTACACTGGTGCACTTTTAGGCAACTTATGGTATTACAGTAGAGGCCAAATTTAAAGAAGCTTGCCGGAAGATGGGCATTCTAATAATATTTGTTGAAGAATGAAGTTGGACCCAGCTGAAAAATAGCTGAATACTTAAAGTCACCGAGTCCTCTCAGGATTAAACAATGTCATCTTAAGATGCATATTATTTTTAACTGAGCAACATCATATGGAGGAAAATCAAATTCTCAGAAAAAACTATGTACTTAACATATAAGGTGCAAAAAGATGTGATCGAGATAGTTATAAAAAGGATGTGATTGAAATAGTTGTCTACTGCCAAAGGTCTTATAGCTTAGTGGCATTGATACTCTCCTGTAAGTTGAAGGTCGCGGGTTTGATCCCCCTTGTAACTCAGGTTGTTAGTGCTTGCCCTTTTAATTAAAAAGGAAAAAAGCTGTCTACCCCAAAACCTGTGGATTGGAAAGGAAAAATAAAGGAGGAGAATAGAGAGAGAACTGGGGGAGGATGATTATAGGAATGATTAACTATTTAGCTTAGTCATTATTTGGTTGCCTGCTCATTTCAAATCAATGAAAACTGGTGCAATTATCAGCCTGAAAAAGAAGATTGCATCTAAAATGGCAAGAGTATATGTAATTAGAAAAATTTGCCCAGTTGATTTTGGTACGTCACTGTTTCTCTTTCTGAGAGAATGAGACTGAGCTGCGGATTTTGTGGCTGAAGTTGGAAACGACTGATGTGCATTCATGGTTCTGTGCTTTCTAGGCTAAAACAATAAAAAGAAGAGAAGATTACCTTGTATTGGGATTACATCCTTTACCCTTAAATGGAGCTGTGTATTTGTGATATAGTGTTAAGCAAGAGCTGGAGGATAAAAGTCTTATTCGATGTAATGCTATTGCCGTTAATGTTACTCTACACTCATCATGAAAGTTATCTGAGACATATGTTTGTCATCGTCAATTAAATGCTAATGATGTAGTCAGTGTGCATGCTACTTATTGTTCTGTCTGAATGCTATCTGCACCAAGGAATGAGTCCAGTGCTGTTGTAGTCTCAGCTAATCTATCAGTACTTGTCCTTGTGGGTAATATTTAAAGACATTTTTCTTTGACATTAACATAAGCAAATACTCAAGTACCTTGTGGGCTTTAACTGTTACTGCCAGAACTGTGTTTAACCAGCCGTTTCACGGTCTGAGTTTTCATTGTATATTTCCACCTCAGAGTTGCACCGATATGGAGGGGGTCCTATGGAGGGAGAAAATAGGGACCCTGGATCTGCTACTGCTCCTGACACGAAGCAGGGTGGGGTGCCTTCGAAAACGCCTGCTGATAATGTGGTTTCAGCAGTCACTCCTGTGGCTCATCCTGATGTCTATCATATTGGAGTTCCTTCACAGAGATCTTCCATTGTGATTCAGCGGCCAGGTCAGAGAGCTCATCAGAAGTGGAAGGGTCCGGATAAAATCAGTAGGATATATGGTGATTGGATTGATGACTTGGAATGAATTCAGGAGTCCCATTTTTGCTATCGGAGGAAACGGCTGATAAGGATTTATGGCCACGACGTGTATCACCTATAAACTGGATATGTAGTTTCCTTAGGCTGTGATCTTATCATATGATGATCATGTATCTCTGGTCTTCTCTTTGCGAAGAAAGCACAGGGGGGAAGGGATGAGTTATTTTATGATTTCCATTCTCACCTTTTTTGTGTATCACTTTAACCTATCAGATGAACTTTTCATCCTACGAGAACATTGTTTCAATTCACTAATATATGTTCCGTTTCTAAATTTGATCCATAGCCGCATCACCGTATCTGCATCAGATTCTGTGCCTGTTATGGTTCTTCTCTCTTCTTATCAAACGCATTAGCCCTTGTCTTTCTTGCGCTTGACTATGTTTAAAAAGAGTGAGAGCCCCTGCATAATTTTATGAAAAGTAAGCCTGAGAAACAGTCTATGAAGGGCATGGCCTGTTTATCCGATATTATGTTTCGACTTTCGACCCAAAATAAATCCATTTAAATACTATCTTCCGTTCTAAATATATTTGATACTAAATATAAAAATTAATTGACTAATTTGAGTATATTAAAAAAATAAATTAATTTAGTTATTTGTAATAAATAGGTGTTATTTTTTCTAAAATATTCTTGCTAATTAAGTGTCTTGGTTAGAACTACTATTATTGGAAGGATTACTTTAGAAAAAATACATAAATATGAGAGACAAAATGGATTGGAGTTTTATATTTAGGACCAAAATAAAAGTCAAATGAGATTTTATATTAAGGATCGGAGGTGGTATATAAATACTCATTCCCTTTGAAACTGAGGTGTTTTTTTAAAGAAAAATGACAAAAAAAGAAGTTGAAAATTATTAAATCTCAAATCAAGTTTGGTAATAGCATTTTATTTGATGTTGACAACGTTAAATTTGTAAATGACAATAAATTTTTATTGATATTCAGTCATTTTTAGCTTCTTTGTTTTTATCATTTTTTTAGTCTAATTTACATCCTCCATAAATTAGATAATATCATTAAAACATTATACATTCTTTTCATAGTTCAATGTTAGTCTAAAGTTTTGAGGGAAAAAATATGATGTTGCCCTTTGTTGAGTATACCTTATTTTGACCATTAGTCCATGGAGACCAATATAGTTACTAATTAAGTTTTTAAAATTTATAAATAAATGTCAAAGGACTAATGTTATTTCTTATCATGTGTTAGTAAGTAGTTAAAAATATTTTTTTGATAATCTAAATATTAATTAATATTATTTTCAAATCTTTATATATACAATTTACAATTTTTCAAGGTTTACAAAATACTCGTATATAAGAATTTATAAATTAATTATTATATTATTATTTATAAGGTAATGGGTAATAATTTATAACTTTTTCCCAAAATATATAATTGCCCTTGGCCATCACGACAGGAGATCGACAAGAGGGAACAGGGTTTATAAGCTAACGGCCCATATGGAGAAGAGCGCGCCCTACTGGGTCTCAATTCTCCAGACGCTACATTCCGACCTGGTGGGGTTGAAAGCAATTTGTGTTCTGCTATTTTAGTTCGGCCAAAGCTGGGTATTACACTTGTCTCGTCGCCTCACCTGGGCGAGGCTTTTCAGCTGTTTCCCATGGATTCTTATAAGCTTGAGAAAGAAAAGTAACTCTCGTTGTCCCTGTAGTTTCTTTACTATAATTCAGAGTTTATCACATTTGATGCCGTCTTTTGTTTTAATTTTCCTGTTAATTATACAGGTTCGTGACCAATTTGACCGGATCCTCTATGCTGGAAATAGCGGTTCTCACAATGACAATTCCTGTGAGTCTCCTCGGGCTGGATTGAATAGTACTAATCTTTATATTAACTAAGATATGATACAGTTCTCATTGTGCTTTCAGTTGTTGGCCGTTTTTCGTCACTCAACCATCTCCAATTCCATTGCCGGTCAGTCCTGAGACTTTTTTTTTCATGTTGGTTTTTTTTTTTTTTTTTAAATCTAGATTCGATGAATTTGACATTTACAAATCTCCAGATTTTGGATTTTCTGTTTTTGCATTTGCTTCTAGCTTGCCATGTTAGTTCATTGATACTCCAGATTTTAGTTTTTCCCTTCCCAATGGCATAAAAGCATATTACATGCTAGTAATTGGTCCACGTTTCTCTTGTTTGTTCCATTAAGGTCCGCTTGGTGCATAGCATCATACATGGCGCAGATAAGATATGTTGTTTCATTTATTTATTTTTTTAATTTCTTCTCCACCATAGGTGGCTCGCTGAAGAAAACAGATGATGCAGTTGCTGAGTCTAGAAATCTGAAAACATACTTAACTACCTTGTGTTTGGATTATCTTGTCATTATTCTTCCTGTTTCCGCGTTTGGCACTGTAAGTGTTCATATCAAGTATTTTTCCAGAAGTACAAAATGCCTGCTTCAAGGATGCTTGTTCAAACTCTAATTGATACCAAGGCTGTGGATGTTAAAAATTCCAGTCGCTTAAGGAGATTTTGGTTTATAAACGGTCCGTTTTAATGAATAAAATACTTCATTTTTGAGAGGGTGCTTGTAATTTCTTGCTCGTCTCATTCTTTTGCTCTTTCTCCCTCCCTCCCTCTGTTCGGGGATCTGGTTGAAAATAGCAAGATTCTAATATGTCTGCGTTTTTTTTTTCGAGAAAAATTACTCAATTTTTAAATCATTTTTTGCTTTGTTTCCTTTTTTTTATTTTTTATTTTTACTTTGGTTTCTAAACATGCATTACAGGTACTGGCAGATCGGACCTATATTGGGTCATTTGTGATTGTACTCTTCACCTTAATTTCTGTTGCTGCCAAAAGGTAGTCATGTGAATTTATTTTCCTAACCTTTTGAAGGAAGAGATTTATGCCATCAATCAATCTTTGATTCTTAAAATTTCGCATGAGTTTGATTCTGAAGCACATGATGATTCACTTTGTGTTCTTAGGTGCAAATATGGTGGTTCTTCTCTTTCTTTTGAGGGGGATTCCAGGTCTCTCCGTGCATACATTTCATCATACAGGTTTATTGTGGTATGTAAAGTTCCCATTGAACTCTGTCATTCCATTTTACCAATTTTTCTTTTTTCCATTGTGATGAAATTTAACCTTTGCAGATGATTATAACATGTGCGTGTATTTTGGCTGTTGACTTCAGAATATTTCCCAGAAGATTTGCGAAGACTGAAACGTATGGAACTAGTTTGGTGAGATTTTTAAGAAATTTGTAACTTCGCTTTTTATGTTTATAACTAGACAAGTGAGCTATTTATTGTAATTTTATGGTACATGAACCAATCTTGTACTACAGTTTGAAAAAGAGGGACATCCCCCAACAACCTCCACACTTCTACTCATCTTTCAATTGATTCTTATCTATTGAAAGAGTTTCTTCAGTTATATATTTGCATAGGTTGTTCAATTTTGGAAGGATTTTTTGGCTCAAGGAAAGATAATAATGGGACATAAAATATTAACTAACTTATGTGTTGGTTTGGTATCTCTTTATCATGTGGCTGCCCTGTATTTGCTGCTTGGTGCGTCCATTTTTTTCTGTTTTACTGAGTCAGATGCCAAGTAGTAGCATGTCTGATAATATCATTATATTATTGAATTTGAGAATAATTGTGCATGCCAGATGGATCTTGGAGTTGGATCATTTGTGGTGGTAAACTCATTTGTTTCTCGGCAAGCTAGAAATATCATATCAACGTGAGTAATCAGACTTGTCTCTATGAATGATCTTTAAGACCTAATTGCATTAACTTGCAAAGTGAACTCGTAAATTTTTTGTGTATATAAGCCCACTATGATGCAATAATATGCATACATACATATATATATATATATTGATATGGCAGTGATTTTCTCTCAGCTTTTATGAAATGTTAGTTGTTCCAGCCAAATCAGTTAGAGAGCTTAGATGCCAGTCTTATACTATGGGCAAAGAGGCCATGTGTCTAACATGCCCTTGCTGACAGGATTTTGGTTATGGTTTTTCTCCTTCCTCCCCTGGCTTCATCACCTTGTGCAAAAATTTTTAATCTCCTTATTGTAATCTTGATTTGGCGTCAATAAAATATAAAACGGGGAACCCCTATGTTATTGGCACAATTAAGTTGTTGGAGAAACAAGATATTGGATTGGTTACCCATACTATTCCAATGGAACTTGAGACCAAACTTCTGTGTCCTAAACTCATTATAATTGTAGAAGTTGACATTAAAGAAGGAATTGAGTAGGCAGTGGAAATTTAAGGCCAAGCAGTTTCCGACTTTCCATGGTGTGGTGCCATTGCAAAATCACTTGATTGTCTTTGCATTCTAAAAAAGAATTCCTCAAACATATTGAAAGCCTTGTATTTCCTATCTTTAGAAGGATACTATTGGGATGTGTTGAAAGTTCTCCTTTAAAATTTGATAGGACATCACAGGGAAATTTTTCTTTTGGCGCCTCCCAAATGTCGTGTAGTTACTTGTTTGAGGAGCTTAGATCTGAATATATGTTGTCTGTGGTGTAGTACTATACTGCATTTTGCATTCATCTGATTACATCAATTTTCCCATGCTTCAGTGGCTGGAAGACTGCAGTGCTGTCCACTATTCCACTGATTATCTTAGGATTTATTCGTATCGTTACAACAACGGGTATCAATTATCAGGTAGCATTATTTTCCTGGGTTTCCTCATAAATTGTCGCATGGTATGCAATTTCTGTCCCACGGATCTTAGTGAGCTAATTAGCTTTCAATATGATAAAGAGATGATAGTCTTTTGGTGTTTACTGTTGTAGACATTCTCTGTCCAAAATGAGTAGTAAAATAATATAAAATGAGAGGAAGAACAAGTGCAGTAGCTCTCATGGTTGTTCTGGACAATGATTTGCTGCTATGGCCTTTCCGCTAGACGTTTGAGCTCTTCTGGTCAAATTATTAGTTCAAGGCATTCTTATGGAAATGTATACTTAAATTTCATTTTCATACAGCTACATGTGAGTGAATATGGTGTGCATTGGAATTTTTTCTTCACACTTGCTGGGATTTCAATCCTTACTTCCGTGGTTAATATTCCCGCACAATATTCTGGAATTCTTGGTTCTCTTGTCTTAATAGGTAAATGATTATTTCAGGCTTCTTTCCAGATCTTATCTTTTGTAACGTGATTATTTTTTAAGTTTATTTTCTGTTTTTAAGGGTACCAGCTCTGCTTGTTACGTGGGTTAAATAATTATCTGCTTTCTGATGAAAGAGGAACTGATATTATCAG